CGCTTGTCCCTTGCTGTTAAAGGATATAGTTTCAATTTAGTGTAGAAATTTGCTGTAAATAAATTGAAGCTCCTATGGTAGCTAGTCCTTATTAACCTTTTATTTTTAGTGTTGTACTGAAAACTCATATCACCCAGCTGTCAGGGTTATAATTGAAAGTTATGAGACCATAGTGAGGAGCAGGCAGTAATTCAATTACAACAAATATCTTTGGGTTTATGGTGCAGGGCTAAATTAAATGTCATTATTCACTGTCTCTAATGGAAATCAAAAGGAAATCAGATTAGAGCATTTGTGAAAGAAATCACTGAGTGATCCTTAATGAAGAAATAACTGTCTAAAACAGTGTACTGTGCTTTACTTAGCATATTCATGACTAATTGGAATTGATCGTGAATCACACCAAGCCTGATTTATTATCGCTTAACGCAGTGGCTAATTCATCACTTTTATTCCTCATAACCTTATTTTTTCATAGCTAAAGGGAAAGGGCACTTCGTTTTCCAGATTTAAATATAATTTCTGTTTGAAAGATGTTCTGATTTGCAAGAGAAGTTGTTTAAACGCTGCTTAAATTCCTCCTGACAATTTATACTCCTTTGGAGACAGAAAGAGAGAGAGAGGAAAAGAAAACACATAAGGAGATTTCCTGCAAGGATTTACAACTGTAAAAAAAAAAAAAAAGTATTATCGTCACTACTGCACGATGATATTTTGCACACTTATATAAAAAACCCTCACATCCTCATTGAGAGGAAAAAACCAAAGACAGGCGATTCACGTTCTCAGTATTTGCGTATTTTGTGCACGAAGGACAGACTTGTGCAGCGCTGCGTGTTTCAGGAAGCGGCGGGGGAGCGGGGCGGCAGCGAGCTGGCCGCGGCTGCGGAGGCAGATTCAGGGTTAGCGCGGGGTGGGCTGCGCGCCTGGCAAGCTGCGTGCGAGCGGGCAGCCCGCAGCGCCTCGCAGCTGCTCGCCCGCTGCATGCTCTCGCCCGGCCACCCTAGGCAGGAAGGATGGTGCTCCAAATCAGAGAAGGCCAATTCCTACTTAAGAAAATCACTGAGGTACCCGAGGTAATTAATGCCTTTGGAAGCCTTTCTTTGCACTAATTACTCCGTTGTAAATGACCATCATTAAGGCAATTGGAGAAAGCTTGAAGGGAAAATTTGATGTAGGAAGTGCAGTTAGTATTAATTAACCGTATGATCTCTTGGCAAGTGCAAGAACATCAAAGGTTGAAGGTGTTTACTTAGCTACAAGATTTTATCAGCGGTGGAAGTCAATGTTTGTTCACAATCGGTAGTTTTTGTGTAAGGATAAGGGTCGGCAAAACATGTTGGTCCACACCTCTGATGATACTTTTGAGGAGAGTGACTACACTCTCTACTACCGTAGAAGCAGAAAAGTAATAAAAATTTGAAATGCCCCTCGAAAAGAGGTAGGGGGGACACAGTGACAACTGGAAATTCTGCGTTTGTTTGACTTAGAATGACTGGAATTAGAGGAGGATTATTGGATTACAGGCATTTCTCTGGTGAGGCATAAGTACTTCTTTAAATCCCAGTTTGGAAAGATGTTACTCTTGTCTGAAAGTCAGAGCGTTCAGAAGTCAACAGGAGCGGAGTTTTTTTTGTTGTTTTGGTTTAACGCTTGGGGAAAGGGGAATGATTCAGCCCCTTTGTTCAAGTTCTGTATTTTGGATCTTCTCCGAGCTCTTCAGCATTTCCAAGCTCAGCTCGGGAGAAGAAGCAGACAGTCCCATCGCTTATGGGCTGACCTTGTAGTTCGCCCCTATGTTAACTGTTCCGGGGCTGTTTGAGGTGTGAATGGAAAGGGAGTGACGGTCCGACCTAGGCTGCATATGGGCTTATTTTAGTGTTTGCGAGAGCAGCCCCTCGCTTCAAATGGGTGGCACAAGGACAGCTTCTGCCACCTTGGGAGACAAGGGGGGAGGCCTCGGAGGTTTGGAGCCAACCGGCAGGCTCTCGGTCTCCCAGGCTGCAAGGGGACGTGTGATCTCCTAGCTTCAGCTCCTGCTGAGAAACCACACTAAAGAGCAGGATTCCCCTCACAAAGTCTCCCCAGTAGCTCCCCTCCTCCCATCCCAGCAGCACACAGAGGGGCTCACTCTGCCAGGGGCTGGGATCTCGCCCTTGGCTTCACCTGGAAAGAGATCTCGGCAAAGTTGTGTGCCTCCCGGCCTGGCCTCTCCCCTCTATCCCGTCTCCTAAGCTAACCCTCTTCCTTAGCAGCTACCCGCTCTACCTCCACTTTTGTTCTTCCCTTTTTGTTTTGTTTTGTTTCCGTTTTCTTTCTGCAGGTCTGGTTCCAGAACAGAAGAGCAAAGTGCCGAAAGCAGGAAAATCAGATGCACAAAGGTGGGTGAGGAGTGCGGGGGTGGCGGACGCAGAGCCCTGGGGCGCCGGGCCCCCCTCGCCGCTCACCGGCCTTGTCTCTCCCCGCAGGTGTGATCCTGGGAACCGCCAGCCATTTAGACGCCTGCAGAGTGGCCCCGTATGTGAATATGGGAGCCCTGAGGATGCCCTTCCAGCAGGTAGTTAGCTCCGTTTTTATTTTCCTTTTCCCCAGCAAGCTCCGATCCCCTTTCGTTTGCACGGGAGGAAGCCGGACACATTTACAAGTGCCATTTATATAGAAGTTGGCACGTATTAAAAACAGGCCGTAAAACTTCGTGAAGGAGCCCTCGCCCGGCTGCTGGGAGCTCAGCGGCTCCC